CCCCCCCCCCCCCCCAAAAAAAAACAACCCACCCTTGTTGAATATGCTAAGAATTAATATCATGCTCCCACTTATGAGGATTGTAATTGCTTTCCTCCTCTTCTCTTTAAGCTTGTGTCTTTAAATCACAACCAGCCTGATTGCCCAAATCAAGTTAAAAGAACATAAACAGATAAATTGCAAGCTGAAAATAATATTGTGAGGAACATACAATTTCTGGCCGAGTACACACATTCAAGTAACCTGGGAGAATTCTCCCAGGTTCTCTCTCCTGGTAGAGAAAACTTACCCAGAGATGCCTAAACAGACATTCAAATTCTTCACCTCCGAGCAAAAGCTTGCAGTGCTGATGCTGCCCAGCTAGGGGAAGTCTGTGCAGATCTCGGTATGCTCTGCAGATGACTTTAGTCTGCCTGGTGACAGGTCACAGCAGTGTGTAGGGCAGCTCTGACTGGCTGACCCAAGGTGCCCATGATAACCCCATTTCCCTCAAGCGCAATGTGGCGATTGCAAAGGGGGAGTGTTCTAGAGCAGCAGAGTCCAGCAGACAATACACTGTCTCCCAGGGCAAGGGGAGAAGGGAAAGCTGGAGGACTATGTTCTCTTCTGAGACAAGCCATGTCATACAGACATTTGCTGTCCCAGGAGAAACTCTGCTGGGAGTGATTTAACCCTGGTTAGTCCCAGTTATTTTGCTCTCTAGGAGTGGCCATTTTTACCTTGGGAGAAAAAGCCTGACTATCTGTACATTTGTAGTTTCTCCTGGGAGTAGTGACTCTTCTAAAAGAAACTAAATGTCTTTCTGAGGCTTGTATGTGGCCTCTGTGAATTCACAGTTACAGGCTCCAGAGTGGTATAATAAACCCATTTCAAAAAACCTCACCCTCTCTCACTCCCCAGAGTAGGCAGGAACCTACTAACCAGTGGAGATTTAACTTTTTCTAGAGGAGGGCTTTTGGCTCCCTTTTTTCTCCCCCTGCAGCAAGACATCTGGGGAAAAAAAAAAGCAGCAGTTCTCTCCTGTCCTTCTCTCCTTCTGTACATCTGGCTCGTACTCCAAGTGACATACTCTACACCATCAGTTTTCAACCTTTTTTTTTTTAAATTTTATTTGCAGACCCCTGAACATTTTTCAAATGGCGGTGTGACCCCCTTTGAAAATTTTGAAGAGGTGCAGACTCCTTTGAGTTGTAAGTGTGGGTATTAACACGCTTTTGATTGATCAGAGTCATCTTTCACAGACCCCTTAGACAATCTACAGACCCCAGGGACCACAAGTTAGAAGAAAAAAAAAATCACTGTTCTACACTTCAATATCACTGAGTAATATGCCCTTTTTATTGTACTTTCCATCAAAATCTGCAGCATAAATGGGGCTAGATACATTTTTCCTCATTATACATCTTGACTTATTTAAGGACTGGCACTGACTCCTCAACTTTGAGCCCCAAGAATCTACTGTCCCACAGAGCCTCATCCACTCCTAACCCCAGTTCCTCAAGTGACTTTCATGGGGCTTTTAAAATTTCCATCCTGCTGGCCAGTGCAAAGTAAAACTATTCCACAACCTTGCATTAACAAAAAAAACAAACAGGCAACAGCTTTCTGAGATAAAACTTTGAAGAGACATGTAGCATTTAGCTAGGAAGTAGTGATACAAAAGTTATCTTTTTCCAATCACGATCAAACCATGACTAGAGTCAGCCCGAATACAATATTGCAGCCAAACATTTCACACTGCTTTACACTCCAGGAAACACTTAACACACCTTTTCCCTACAAATGTGTTTTATAAAAACAACTTCCCACTGCCAAAACCTGGGCACTCAATTTCAAGTGAAGAATATATACACCAGTTCTCTCTTTTGATTAAGCAAGAAATGCTGCCTTATAAATATATTATACCATTTGTCAGGGCACACATGGGAAAAACTTACAGCTCTGACTCGCAGAAGGTGTGATATGACAGACTGCAGTTCATCACTGTAGTGTTTTAGCTCAGTAAATCTCCTGGGAGGAGGAAACAGATAGTACATCATTAGCGATCATGAAAGCAAGCTTTCACAAATTGTAAGAGAGAGCCACAACACAATAGCTGGTGACACTGAGCCTGACTTATGTCAGAAGTAGAATTAGCTGAGGATTCCTAGAGAGGTGACTGTAGCGTCCAACTCCTGTTTAAACAAATAACTGCAACCATGGAAAAAACCCCCCCAAAAAAACAAACTTACTGTGCCTTTATACAAGAAGGTTAGGATTGACTCATGACTTAAGAAATAAATATAAACTGCAGTTTTTCTAGTGTCTTTCTTTATAGCACTTACGAAATATTATATGAGAAGTCTTTTCTGAATCTTTACAGTGTACCTGCCATTAATATACAATTCTGCTGAACAGATTTTTATGCTTACTAATGAAAAGTCTTTAAAATTCTTTTGAAGCCAAGAAATATTAATTTATACAACAATATAGGATATTATCTACAACAGGGGTTGGCAATGTTTTTGGGCAGAGTGACAAAAACACTCACAACCTCAATTTGTAAGATATTGGCATGCCAGAGATGAACAGTAAAGGAGCCTGATCCTTGTTGTGGCAGTACAACCCCAGCCCCTTCCCCGATGGGTGCGTGCCAAGCAAAATGCTTGCGTGTGCGCCACACTGACATGTGTGTCAGAGGTTGCCTACCCCCAATTGACCCAGTGAAGTGCATGGCAGGCCCTTTTCCTTTCCTTCAAATCAGTGATGCCTCAATGAAGATGGTAAAGGAGTTTCTGTTGATAACAAAAGCACACCAAAACTACCAACCAACCCACCCA